ATTAAGATTCCAGTAGTAATAGACAAAAAAGTATATCAATGATTCACATAAAGCAATACAGAAATAGTGAACAAATCAGGAAAAATGTTCAAAACTTGATTTAAAAATATCAGTGAAACAATAAGACACCAAATCTATCCTAATCCCCAGCAAGACTATGATAAAACTAATAAATTCATACATTACTGGTGATGCTATAAACTAATATTACAATTTAGAAAGTAATTATACCAATAATTACCAAGAACTATGAAGAAGTTACCATCATTTAATATAATAATCTTACTCTTAGAAATTTATCTAAGAAATTATCCTAAAGACATAATATTTAATATTTAATAATCTTTAAAGTTACATGGAAGAACTACACGTTCACTACAGGGTTATTTATATAAAGAATAAATGAAAATAATCTAAACATTAAGTTTGAAAAGTAAAGTCCATTATAAAGTATCAACTGAGAAAATACTATGTGTAGGCTTAAAATGATAATGATAAAGAATGGTTATGATGATAAAGAATGGTTAACAGAGTTGGAAATATATTTGTATTAAGTAAAAAAGTGGCCTTTATCATGTATATTAAAATAGTGACATAAAATATGTTTAAATATGCTATGGACCGAATGTATCCTCTGCCCCAAATTCATATACTGAAACCCTAATCCCCAATGTGATAGTATTTGGAGATGGGGCCTTTAGGAGGTGATTAGGTCATGAGAGAGGAGCCCTCAGAATAGGATTAGTGCTCTTATAAGAACAGACAGGAAAGAGCTTTCTCCCACCCACATCCTGCCCCACCACCACCACCACCACTACCACCACGTGAGGACACAGCAATAAAGTAGCTGTCTGAAAACGAGGCCCTCGCCAACAACCGTACCATGCTGGCACCCTGATCTTGAATTTCCCAGCCTCTGGAAGCCTCTGGAACCATGACACCTGGCTAATTTTTCTATAAATCACGCTTTTAAAATATGAAATTTAGGCTGGGTGAGGTGGCTCATGCCTTATAAGCCCAGCATTTTGGGAGGCCGAGGTGGGAGGATCACTTGAGGCCAGGAGTTTGAGACCAGCCTGGGCAACATAGTGAGAACCCATTTCTACAAAAAATTTAAAAATTAGCCAAGCTAATTAATTTTTGTGGTCCAAGCTACTTGGGAAGCTGAGGCAGGATGACAGCTTGAGCCTAGGAGTTCGAAATCACAGCAAGCTATGATAGTGCCACTGCACTCCAGCCTGAGTGACAGAGTGAGACCCCATCTTTTAAAAAAAAAATGTGAGATTTAATAACTCCTCTTCTTAACTTCTCCAGTGGCTTCCCTCTACAAAGTCTCTGGAATCCAGCCCCTCATACCTATCTAACCTCCTCTCTAGATGCATTCCTGTTACTCACACCATTCCTGTCAACATAATCCCTTCCTCATTCCGCAAACCCGCCAGGCTGGCTCCTCCCACAGGGCAAGGCTTTTCTAGGTGATACTCCTTCAGCCTGGAATTCCTTTCCTCCAGACATCCCCAGGGCCCACTCCCTCATCACCTTCAGTTCTTTACTCGAATGTAGTCTTCTCAGTGAGGCCTTTCCTTTCACAATCACACTATTTTAAATTGCACACACACCCCCATTCTCTATCCCTTTTTTCTGATTTTTCTCTAAAGCCATCATAACCATCACATGTACTCTATATACTCTAAATTTTATTTATTCACTATGTTTTATCACCCCATCCCTACTATCCACTGGAATGTACAGTGCACAAGGGCTGGAATTTTTGTCTATTTTGTTCACTGCTGTAGCCTCAGCATCTAGAACAGAACCTACCATATAGTTAATGTTTAATAAGTACTTGTTGAATGAATGAATGAATGAATGTCACTCATTTGGTCACCTCCTCCCTCTTTTGCATCATCAGTTTCTCCCTGTCACCTCTGTCACCATGCAAACATACTCTAGTTTCAAAATACACCTCCTTTTTCCTCATATCTCCAACTCACTACTGCCCTATTTCTGTTTTCTGTCATTTAAAAAACTCCTCAAAAATGTTTTCTACTCCCAAATTTTTAAATCTCCAACTTATTTCAGTCTGGGTGTTCTTGTCAATGTCACAAACAATCTCCAAATTACCAAATCCAGTGGTGGTTTTTCTATACTCATCTTACCTGACCTTTCACATTACACGGCTGTCCTTTCTTTTACTGATACATACCTATTCCTCCCTACTAGAAATATTCTCCTTTCTTGGATTAAGTGACACCAAACACAAAGGCTTTCTTCTACCATTCCACCAGCTCCTTCTCAGACTCTTTTTGCATTCTTCTCTTCTTTGACACAATCTTTGTAATCAGAGTTTCTCAGGACTTAGTTTTATTCTATCTTACCTTTTCCCCCTATACCCGCCTTAGATGGTCTCAATCATTGTTGTGGCTTTAAGTACCACAGATATGCTGACAGCTCTGAAATGTGTAACTGTGGCCAGCCCAAACCATTTCTCTGCACACTACATTCATATATTCATCTCCACTTCAGTATCTCAATAGGTTCCCCTCTAAATATCCCACTATACCTGTTCCTGTTCCTCTCCAGGTCTTCTTCCTGTGAGCAAATGGTACCACCATCTACCAGTTGCTCAAGCTGAAAGCTAGGAATCACTTTTGATAGCATCCTTCCTCTTCCTCATATCATGCCAATCCCTTAGTACATCATGCCATTTCTGTGTCAATTTTATCATGAATCTGTCCACTTCTCTTTATATCCTCCCTCCGTGACCACGCTAGTCCAAACCACCATCATCTGCCATTTGGATCTGGCAATGAGTCCCCACTAGACTCCTAGCATTGATTCTTGCCACCCCACCACCAAAATCTTAATAGTCTACTCTCCATACTGTATCCACGTATTCCTTTAAAACAGCATTCTAGGCCCAGCATGGTGGCTCATGCCTGTAATCCCAGCACTTTAGGAGGCCAAGGCAGGCGGATCACTTGAGGCCAGGAGTTCAAGACCGGCCTTAGCAAAAGCAAACCCTGTCTCTACAAAACATAGAAAAATTACCCAGGTGTGGTGGTGTGCTACTCAAGGGGCTGAGGCAGGAGGATAGCGTGAGCCCAGGAGTTTTAGGTTGCAGTGAGCTATGATGATGCCACTGCACTCTAGCCCGGGCAACAGAGCAATACTGTGTCTCAAAAAGTTAACATAACATGAAACATAACACAACATAAAACATATAACAAAACAAACAAAATAAAATAAAATAGTATTCTATACAAGGCAGGGTGTGACCCCATGGTGAATTGTGAAATGAGTTTCAAGTTATAAACTGTAGATCAGGTGAAATCATGATAAGTATTTAAAAAGTAAAATAGAAAAAATTTCAGTCAGATTGATATATGTGTATATGAACTGAGTCAGGATGTAAAAGCAAGCTTTTTCTCACCTTACTGCCTGGGTAAATTTTGTACTCTACTCCTCAAGAATAGAGAGTTTATTTGTCTCGTTCACCAGTATATCCTTGGTACCCAGTATAGGACCTCATGCCAAGTGGGCAGTAAATAAATTTTTCCTAAATGAATAGTTGGTGCTTAAAAAGCATTGGCTGGATGGATAAAGGATGCTTAAATAAAAAAGTCTAGGTAATAAAATTATAACAAGGCACATGATATACACTCTATAAATAATAGTTCCCTTCACCTTTCACTAAATTTTGTGTCCTCATTTTAGAGTTTTCCAGTCCTTAATTTTGACCATTACAATTTTTTAGCCATTTCATTATATTTCATAAAATCTACTTCATATTTCCTCATACCATTAAATGCTTATTTTATGCTTTGCTCTCATTTTTATGCAAATTTATTACTAAATGAGTATAGTAAATTTATAAATGAAAACAAAATGTAATATCTTTTTACTAGTCATAAGACGTTCTAAAGTGAAGAGTGCTTGCTTATGCCACATAACTCTAATGAAAATCAGTATGAACCTACCTCCAAGATCAAGGTCTTTAAGAACATGGTAACCACCTGGCTGCAGAAATTCTCCAACTATTCTGTCAGGCTCTTTTAAATCTCTCTCAATCACGGTCACCTTTCTTCCATCTCTGGAAAGCACCGCTGCCAAAGCAGAGCCAAGTATACCAGATCCCACGATGATAACTTCGGGATCACTTTGAGAAGATATTGATGTAGAGGCAGCTGCTCCCATTAAGGTTGTTTCTGAAATATTGGTTCCTTTTCTGCGCTGTTTAAAAAAAGTGAATTATGTTTCCAAATTTATTACATTTAAATCATACTACTATTCTTTGTAGATGCACTGAACTTTTGTATCTTGGGCAAAAGCTAGAACCCAAACATTATCAAACCAAATGAACTGTTACATTTTTAAATCTGGATCACATATATTATAAAAATCAACGATATCAAAATATTGCTTAAATAAAAATATATATTATCCCAATAAAATTAAGTTTTTAAATTAAACTATTCAGCACCTTTTAGATATTTCCACTACTCTTTATTTTCCTTCTGAATTTTCATTTGAAAAATCTATTTTAATCTAAAATCACTTTTCTATAACAAAAAGTTGTCAAATCCCGACTAATGATCTATTAATTGAAGATTATTTAAATCAACAAAATTATAAAAGAACAAATGACCCATACTGCCCCTTGAGATTTGACTTGTTTACAATTTTAATCCTTAACACATAATCACATATTTAGTTTATCCCCATATTCTAAGGGAGCCTCGTCAAACAGTTGGTCCCCAGATTTAGGAACAAGGACAGACATTAAATCTATCGCTGGCTAGACTGACAGCAAAAATGTTAACTTTAATCATAAGAAGATGAAAAGTCCTGTTTTGAGAGATTTATGACCATTGAGAATAACAGTGTGTATTGGCTTTTTAAAATGACTGCTTCAATCTTGTAAATAAGTATTTATTCTTGGTAGGCGGATCACATATCTGAGTACATTTCGGATACAGAATTACAAGGAACCATTTTCCTTGATTTCTCTGACCTTAATGATTAAGATTAAATGCCATTTGAAGGGGTTTCAATAAAAGAACACAGGCAAAAGGATGAAGCCTAAAATCCTCTAGAACTTTAATGCTCTGTGATTCTAATATTTACCCAGCACTCTTTTACCTCTATAGAGGATTTGTCTATTTCACTTGTCTATTTTTTTAAATTTCTCTTGGAGAAATACTTTTCTGTCCTTTACTAAGGGAGAAATCAATAGTCTATTCTTCCCATTGGTATTTACTAATGGCCAGAAAAACTGACTATATGTAAATTACTGTTCTGGAAGCAAGATAAGCATAAGATAAGGCAGTCACAGCATTCCAGCCACCCAGACTAGTGTCAGTTACCCTGAGGGAAGTTATCTTAGACAACAGTACAAAAGATTTCAAATTGAGAATTAAAGATACCCTCTCCCTCCTTTCCCATTCCTCCAACCCACACTCACCATGCCACCGAACTAAGCTCTACTCAAAAGCTTCCTCCTAACAGATGTATACTTCCTTTAGATCAGCAGTCCCCAACCTTTTTGGCACCAGGGACCGGTTTCATGGAAGACAATTTTTCCATGGATGGCAGGGGGGGTGGGGAGGTGTGGAGCTCTGCTGCCCTGTCCCTAACAGGCCCAGAGTTGAGGACTGCAGCTTTAGACTAATGTTAATACTTACTATTATTTATTAGGCAGTTCTAAACCAGGTATTTTACAGACATTAAATCATTTAATTCCCTGACTACCGGCAAGAGTGGTGCCATTCCCTTCTAACAAAAGAGGTAACTGATTCTTACAGAAAATAAGCAACTTGCCAAAGGCCTCACATCCAGAATTGGTGGAGCCAAAATTTAAATCAAGTCCCTCTCTTCCACAAACCTTGCTAATCTATACTGCACATATAGTAAAATAATGTAGACCCAGAACTCTATCTGTAGGTCACTCACCCTAATTTCAAGCCACTATCATCCTTTGCTGGGTCTACTACTATAGTCTCTTGCCTGATAACCCTGCTTTCCCTACAATCCATTCTCCATACAGCAACTGGAATGTTATTTTTAAAAACTAAAAATCAAACACTATTACTCCCATGCTTATAATCCTCCAGTGCTCTTAGGGAAAACTCCAAACACTCATGGCCAACAGGCCCTAAATGATCTGGCCTCAACGACCTCCCCCTCATCTCCTACCATTGGCCTCCTCTGCTCCTTTTGCGGGCATCGTAACTACACATGTATTTGAAGACCCAGTCTTTGCTTTCAGGATATTACTGCATGGATTTACTCAGTGCTCCATTGTGGGGGGAGGAGGGCTTTTACCCAAGGCTTTAAAATGTTGAGCATTTTTACTCTGCCTGCTTTTCAAACTGGTGTCACTTTCCCCAGTCAGCTGTCACTTCTTATAAGCAGTGGACTTACCCGCGGCACATCTCTTTCTTTGCAGGTACAATGCAATCCTTACCCCAAGGATTCAAATAAAACATTTTTTCCATCGCGGAAAGTGATTCTGTCCTCCTTTAAACTGAAATTCTAACATTTCATAATCAAATCAACATCTAACCTCCATCTGAGGCTCACCAACGCTAAACGAAAGAAATGTTTTCAGTCATTCGTAAGGATGTAGCCAAGGCACAGTCAAGAGCTTTAAAAAAAATCCAACTAAAGTATCTGAGCTGCCACCTTTTGCCTTTTAAAGAGGAAAACTTATATCTGAGTGACCCCAATCCTAATCTTAAAATAAGACACTCATTCATTTGCCCACTTTGAAATCAACCTACCCTCCTGGACTCGAGCTGCTCCTTATTTTCCGATCCAGGGGGAGTCTTGGCCCACAAGAAGCCAATGAAAGGCAGAGCTGAGAGAATATCCGAGAAGACCGCTAACTGGGAGCCGCTCTGCTGGCGCCCCAGGAGGCCTCCGTTCCGGTGGCGACAGCGGTAGGAGAGCACCAGGCCCAGCGAAAGGAACACCAGCACGCACAACAGGAGCTCCTTGTTGGCCAAAGTGATGAAGTCCCCGCATTTCTTATAAAAATAGGTAAAAGTGGCAATGCCAAGAAAAGTCCACATGGTTCAAAAGGCTTCTTTGGTGGCACCAGTCAAGGTTGAGATTCTCCCCTGGTGGGTTTAGGTTCTCCCCCAAATGTGGTACCCACAGGAGCACGAAGAACCAGCCAAACTCCAGTAAACACTGTCACAGGATTAGAAATCAGATCAGACCAATTTTAAAAATCATATAAAGTCAGTATAAAATTATCTTAAGGGGAAAAGTTGTAAAGGACTTAGAAAGCAGTATTTAAAAATCGCCTGCCCCAAGCACTCCCGATTAGACACGCTCCTCCTCTTCCAGGCAATCCATAAATTCCTCCTTTTTTGGATGAAGTTTCCTGGGGGGTTGTTGCGGGTGATGTTTTATATTTTGATGTTGGCTCGTCGTGCGGCAAAATTTTTCTTTTCTCTCACCAGCAGCAGGTGCCCTTTCAGAAGGAGATGGCGAGAGGGCGATCAAAGAAATATCTGGGCGCTGGGGAAAAACGCCGCCTCGTCACTGGCTACAGCCGCCGGAGGCTCGGAGCTGCGGGCCAGCGCGGAGAAAGGGTCTCAGCCCACCCTCAGGGGAAAATTCCTGGCCGCCTTCTCCAACAAAAGATGGCCTAGGATCAAGAGTGCGGCGGCAGGGCAGGGCAGCCACCACCTCGGGACTTCTCAGCAGGCTCCGGACTCACCAGCCCCGGAACTGCCCATCCGCGACTTCACTTCCCCGCCAGCGAAAGGCGGGCTCCAGAGAGACCTCAGACTGCGGCGGCGGTGGCGGCTCCAGACGGCCTCCTCACCAGCATCCCTCGAGGGCAGCGGCTCTCCCAGCGCGGCGCGGGCACAGTAACCAGAACAGCCGCCGCGTGCACCCCGCTTGCCGCCGGTCCACGCGCCTCCGCGACCGGGCAGGCTGGGCCCGGGCGAGGGACCAGGGGGCGGGGCTACAGGGGCCAACCCGCCCCGTCCCTCCTGCCCCGCGCCCAGGCCCCGCCCTATGCCGCCGCCGCCGGCCAATGAGGGCGCGCACCGTTCAGTAGGCCGAGATGGCGCTATGCTGCTTTTGGCCAATCGTAGGCGGCGCAGCCCGCGCGGCAACGCCCAGAGAGACGCTAGGGCGATGTTGCGTGGTGTGGAGTGGGGGCGCGGGGAAGGCGTTCCGCGGCTGGTGGGCGGGTGAGGCGGCTACGGCAGGCTCCCGGTTGGGGGCGGCGCTGGGGGTCACGCCCGGTCAGTTCCCCGCCGCAGCCCCACCCCCTGGAGCCCTACCTGGGGAAAAGGTGGAGCTAGTTCTGAGGCCTGCTGGAGCCTGCTGGAGCTCTGCCCCCAATGTCGGAATGTTTCCTTGCATTTGCGAGCATTTATTGAGCGCCTTATACGTGCCAGGCCCTGGGGTCAGAAAGATGAATCAGACACAGCTTTCGTGTCCTGTGCCTTGTGTTTGTAGAGGGCGGTAGGAGGAGCGGTAGGTGCACGAAGAACGTGACATTCACGCTGAACCTGGAAGAACGAGTGTGGGCGTTTGCTCTAAGAAGAAAAGGAGAGGATGTGCCAGGTCCTCAGGCTACAGGTACACTGATGAGCTAGCCCCTGTTCTCTCAAGGAGCTCAGAAACGTGGGAGTAGGGGCACTCGACAAAGAAGTCAAATACATAGTCGCGTGTCATAAGTGCCCTGAGAAAAGGGTGGACAGGAAACCATGGAAACGGAAGGCAGTCCTTCACTGGGCCTGGAGGGAGTTAGGCAAAGAGGTGTCCTCGGGAGAGGTTACGTGAATTGTATCCGGGACAGGCAGCCCAGAGGGAACAGTACAAGTTGTGCTATGATGAAACTTCCCTAAAATTTATTGAGGCCTAAGACCACAGTGCCTTTGCTCACCCTGTTTTTTTAAACCTTGTGATTTATATGCAAGTCCTTTCTGCCGTTTGAAGCGTGGCTGAGTTGTCACCTCTTCCACCCAGTCTTCGTTGACCCTCACCAAGTCACATAATAGTTTATTCATTCTCTCTTAATCTCTTCTCTGACTGTACACTTATGGTTGAGTCCTATTTTCCCTGCTAATCCCGAAATTTGTTGAGGGAAGGATCTGTGTCTGATAAATCGAAATCACCCATAGCACCAAGCACAATGCTTCGAGCTTAGTTTATCCTCCATAAAAATGTATTTAATGTATGAATGAATGATGAATAACAGTAGCATGAAAGCAGAACTAGGTGACTGGCTACCACTAACCAGTTTTGTGATCTTGGACAAGATAAGGCACAAGTTGCTCAACCTGTGGTGGGAGAGAGTGATTTCTTCATGAAATCTAAGATCTCTTGCAATCCTGTGCTGTACATTTGGCAAGCGTTAAGAAAATATGGCACCTCTTAAATATGATTTAAGAAATGAGGCACCTGTCCTCAACTCTTTGACTCCAAATGCTACATGTTTTATCTGCTAATAAAATTTATCTGTCTGGCTGGCGCGGTGGCTCACGCCTGTAATCCTAGCACTCTGGGAGGCCGAGGCGGGCGGATTGTTTGAGCTCAGGAGTTCGAAACCAGCCTGAGCAAGAGCGAGACCCCGTCTCTACTAAAAATAGAAAGAAATTAATCGGACAACTAAAAATACATAGAAAAAATTAGCCGGGCATGGTGGCGCATGCCTGTAGTCCCAGCTACCTGGGAGGCTGAGGCAGAAGGATCGCTTGAGCCCAGGAGTTTGGCAACAGAGTGAGACTCTGTCTCAAAAAAAAAAAAAAGAAAAAAAACATTTATCTGTCAAAACACTATCACAGGCATTAATTTGACCCTCAGAACAACATCGATTTTTAAAATGAGAAAAATGAAATTTAAAGAGATTAAATGGATTGACTAAATCACAGCTGTGATAAATTACATCGTAGTAATATTAATAAAACAAAAAATTAAAGTCCTGCCTCCAAATCTGTGTTCCCCAGTACTCTTAATTATCAATAACTGCCTTAACTTTCCAAGACTTTTATTCTTTCCTCTACGATATTCCTCATTGTTATCAATAAATTTGGCTGTTTAAAATATACATCAAATTAAAAAGGACTGAAGAAAAGAGAATCATTTCATGTGTGGGAAATCATTTTCCTGACAGTAATTCTTCAATAAACTTCTTATTGATACCTATGAGTTCCTATGTTGCTAAAATGATAAAATACTTGAGCAGCTGATTCTCACACATGAGAATACACTATCACCAGGATGACTGTTACTTGCTTATCGAGCACTTGAGATTACCATAGGAGGATTTTTTGTTAATAAGTCGGTAATTTTTTAATCTCTTGAAAGCAATTTTCTTCATATCTTTATACCTGCACAAAGTCATTTTTACAGGGTAAGGTCCTTAATCCTTTGGGCAGTTCAAGATCCACTTCTGAATTTGGGGCAAACAGAGCACTTGTAATACCTAACATGGGGCACAACATGAATACCTGTATTTTCTGAACTGAATTAAACGTTATATAAGCATTGCTTAAATATTTTGAATCTTTCTATGGCTCATTTATTCAAAAATGGAAATCTGTCATTTGGACCTGAAGCAAAGGCAACGAAATATGAGAAAAAATCAGCCACTTACTGGCAGAAAGTAATAATACTATCAAGTGGGTCCACGAGAAATATTAATACTTTTGTAATCATAACAAGAGCTAACACATATAGTATGGGTAGCACTCTAAGTGCTTTTCATATTTTCATATTTTGTCCTCGTGACAACACTATTAGGTAGATACTATTTTTAGCCTTGTTTTACAGACAAGAAAACTGATGCACAAAGAAGTAGTCACAGCTACTCTAGTTCGGGAATCTAGGAATGTTTGACTTTGTTTTTCTTCCCACACAAAAATCTAGTTATCTTAAAAACAAAGAGCAACATTCAATCTCCATTCCCTTGCTTAAGCACCTCTGTTGTCACTTGTTGGCCCAGTTTGGCACATCAGGCTAGCCCTGTATCTCAAGTGCCATTCTCAGTGTGGGAAAAGTCTTGCCCCCTTTCTTCAACTATCCATTCCTTAAGATCCAGATTAATCATCATCTCTTTTTCTTCAAGTTTTCATAACTCCACCTCTTTGTTGTAACAGTCACTAATTTGTATTATAATCATCTATTCACATATCCTTTTCCAAAGTATTCAACTCCATAATCCAAGGATCATGTCTTATTCATAGTTATATATTCAGTATTTGGTGTATGGTGAGCATGTTTCAATGTATTGAATACAACCTTTCCTTTTTTCATTTTGTCCTACCCCACTTTTTGGGTAACAAACTAAGAAATTCCTTTTTCACTGATGTTTTTATTTGAAACACACTGGAAATACATTAGATTGAAACCCTCAAAGCTTGCTTACTCACCATTTACTTCATCCAAGCATCGCCTTGTGTGAATTCAATCTCACCTGATGTTAATATTGCTAGGATAGTTCTATTATGATTAGTAACCTATGCTTTTATTTTAATTTTTCTATATACATACACATAAATTCCATTTATATTCCCATTTCTATTTGTTTTAACACAGTTGCATTTATCGTACTTGATTACTATTATATTGGACTTTTTTCTATTATCTTATGTTGGTTTTACAATCCTTTGTTTTTCCTTACTTTTTTCATCATCTTAGCTCAGCTGCCATAAAAAAAAAAAATACCATAGACCAGACTGCTTGAATGACAAACCTTTATTTCTCACAGTTCTGAAGGCTCAAAGTCTAAGATCAAGGTGCCAGCAGACTCAGTTCCTGGTGAGGGCTCTCTTCCTGGTTTGCAGACAGCTGCCTTCTTATTGTACCCTTACATAGTAGAGAGCAGGGAGAGGAAGCAAACCCTCATGTGTCTCTTCTTACAGAGTACTGATCCCATCATGAGCGCTCTCCTCAGACCCACCCACCTCCCAAAGATTCCCCCCTACCCGCTACTGTCACTCATGAGGTGAGGGTTTCTTCATAGGGGTTTGGAAGACAAACACCTTCAGTCCCTGACAACCTCTCTTGCCTTCTCTTGGATCTATACCTTTCCCTTTTGTACTTCAGCAGGTTTCAAGGAGGTGAGTTATATTTCAAATGTTTTAGTGGTTACTTAAAATTATAACACACATAATTAGCTAAAAATTTTTCAGAAAAGATAAAGTTACCCAATTTCCACCTTCCTTTCCATGGTCAGGACCTTTGGATTACTAATCATTGCATAGGGCTTTGCTGTAACTTCTTAAAAAGGCATAGAAAGTTAGTGAGCTTTTTAATT